TTTTAAAATCCTGTGTCACTCTTCCAGGACAGGGAGACAGGAACTTGAGTGCTCTTAGCTGGATGAGGAGGGTGGGTCCTGCCGGTGGCCTCTCTTGCTGGTCCAGTTAGAGCTTCATGTGCTGGGAGGGGCTAGCTTCTGGGGTTCAGAGTGACCAGGGGAGGAGAAGGAAGTGAAAGAAAGGGAGACGGAGAAAAAGAATGAGTATGAGTCAGCCAGTGATGAAGCCCAAGTCAGGGAGAGAGAGAATGGGAGGAATGTGAGCAGGAGACAGACACACGGAAAGGGACAGAGAGCCAGCGAGGGACGGAGACAGTGCCAGGGAACCACGGAAATGGAGGAAGTGAGAGGCAGAGATGGTCGGAGAATGCAAAGAGGCACAGAAACGAGGGAGGACGAAAGCAGGGAGTTAGGAGGAGTATCTTTGGTATGTGCCTTTTTTGTCCAGGTGGTGTCTAGCCCTGGGCTGTCAGAGCCATTAGCAGTAATTGCTCTTCCTTTGTGGATAAACACTCTGATGGGAAACCTGCTAGTGATGCCCTAGGCTGCCAGCTTCTCTGGGTCCCCGTGTCCTTATTTGTGTGACACTTGCACCGATCAAGTGTGCACATGTGATCAAGCACGAGGAGGGTCACAGAAGCACACAGCAGCCCACCCCCTCACAGCCTCACCTACACCGTCAAGATGGACATCTCCACCAAGTGGGAGGCAGTCAGCCACTGCATCTTTGAGCCCCTCCCATTAACGTAGTCTTCTTTTTCAACAGGGAAGCCCACACATTCCTCATGGTAGGTAGCTCTGAGTACTCAGGGATACAGAGTCACAGAAGCCTGGATTCCAAGGTGCTTGTGGCTACCACAGAGGGATGGGTGAAGGAAGGGATGGAAAGGGATGAATGCTCGTTGACAGGAAAGGAGGAAAACAAGACCAGGGAGAGTCGTGGATGAGGACGAGACAGAAATAGGAGCAGGCTGTGTCACATCAGATGAGTGGAAACGGGCCTTGTCCTCCTCCTCACTGGATCCAATGCCACCATCTCCCACTGCCCCCATCTTGGGCCTTGCCCTTCTCTTAGACAAAACATTTAAGGCTGAGCCTCCTCCCCCATGCCCAGAGGTTACCTGTTTTGCTTCCTGGACATTCTGAGGCCCATATGTCCTGTTTTACCTCACTCCCTGGCTGACCCTGGAGCCTAAGATCCTTTTTCCTTCCTTTACAGAAGACACTCCAGCCTCAAGCTGGATAGAAGCTTGGGGAAGAAATCTATTAGAGGAAATAAATTTACAGGATGGCTTCAGTTTGGGGCCCAGATTTAAAACAGGATAGCTAAAACCCTGCTCTCACCCTTCCCGCCTCTCTGCTTGTCCTTGATTACTTCCTCCAACTTGGGGCAGCAAGACAGATTTGAGTGCCTAAGTGCCCCCTCCTGCCCTTTATAGAGATGTCTGGGCCTTTGCAGCTGTGTCAGATGGCCCCTCCCCTCAGGCTTAGGCAGCTGCAGCAGATGTGAGGGAGGGAGGGGCAGCAGCTCTTAATCCTTGGGCTCCCTCCCTAAACTGAGATTTGAAACCAAATGCCAATCTACTGCGAATTAATGTTAGAATGCACAGACTTTTTCCTGCTGCCGCCACCTCCTCCACAGGTGGTTATCCTGTGGGCTCCATGCACTCCCCCACTATTCCTACATTTTGCCAGGCTTCTCGAAGTACCCCCCGCCTCTTCCTCCCCGTGTCCATGTAGCGTCACGTGACATCTACCCGATTCTTCGTATAGAATGATCCCTACCGCCCATCCCTCTTCTCCAGCATCCTGAGCTGGTCGCACGCTTGTGAAGCCTTCACCTTGGGCCAGCTTGAGGGAGGAAGGAAGGAAGGAAGGAAGGAAGGTATGAGGAAGAAGTGAGCCACTTACAGAATGAGCTGGGAGGGAAGGGGACCGACTTCCTGGCAGCCTGGGCTCTGGTTCCCAGTTCCTGCCCTGGTATCCTGTCCTAAGAATGGCCTCCGCCCAGGCTGCCTCTGAGCTGCTTCAGAGCCAGGACAGAAGACTTCTCCACAGGTCCTGAGGAATTCTAAACCTCTGGTGAGGAAAGTAACATGGAGGATGAAGGAGCCGCACCGCTAGGCCCCCACCATGGCCAGACCAGAAGCATACAGTCAGTCAGTGAGACTTGAGAGCCACGTAAAGGAGATTCCACCTCCCGGCACCCAGACGTGCCCCCTAACTCCTGCCCTTGCCTCTGCTACAATACCTAGACGTGGGCACGGCAGGAGGTAACTGCCTTTCCTGGCTTCCTCAGGGGGCCTATCCCTGTTCTTTCTATCTCTTCTTTCCTTTCCCTACACTCCTCCCTTCCAGTGGTGTTATTGTCCTGATGACTGGGGAGGGGCTCCCTGAACTGAGGTTGCTATGGTAACGGCCGAGAGAGCGGAGGCTGCAGCCCTGGACTCTGTGTGCTCTGTGTCCTCCCCACCACCCATTTACAGCCTCCATCTCATTCCCTTTCCCAACTGTCTCCCTTCTGTAGGCTCACCTCACCCGCCGGCCTCAGCTGGTCCAGACACATACATACACCCTACTCACATACAGCCACACATCCAGTGCTGGCATACTGGTATGTACCTCCATTACGAGAACATCCAAACACACCCCCTGCCTCTACACACTTTTCCACACCCAGGGATCAGCATCCACACACAGGAGCCTGACGCACGTCTCTCCCCCAGCCACGTTAACATCCCTACCCTCATTTCTCCTAGAGGCCTCCTTGTATCTGTTTCACTCTTAGAAAGCTCCTACCCACCGCCCCCAGTCTCTGTGGGAGGGTGTGTTACACACATTAATCCCTTCCCGCCCACTTCCCCTGTAGATGTTTCAGATTCAGAGCCCTAAATCTTAACTCCTCCAAAGAGATTTACACACGCGTACACACATGTACACACACCTTCCTCCCCCAGGATCTGTAATATTTACAAACTCTTCTGTGTGAAAGCAAGGCAGTCAGTATGACCCTAAATTCTGCCCACTTTCCAGCTGAGCGTTGGCCCGGAGTCTCCTCTGCTGGGGCAGGCAGGATCTTTCTCCTTTCCCATGCTCTATCTCTTTCCGGCCTCCTCCCATTTTTCATCTCTGGACACTTTCCTATCACCCCCCTCTCATATCCCCCCGTTTTCTGTCCTCGGATTATCAGTGAAGGTGGGGCTGGGCTCCAGAGCCTGCTGATGTGACCTAGATTTCAAGGCAGGGATGGTTCCTGGTGCTGACAGTCAGAGAGCATTGTTCCTGGCCCAGCCTGGCAGGGCCACCGCTGGGCCCTTCTGTGTTTGCACCTGGGTGTGCAAGTTGAACGTGCCCGTTTCTTGTGGGGGTTGTGCAAGCCCTGCTGTCTGGCTCATTGTCTGTATCACGGTGCCTGCCACCGAGGGAGACTTGTTTTTTTCTGGTCTAAGGAAAGGCTGGGAATGGAGACTTCTGGGCCCACACCTCTTACTGTGTGATGGTTTGCTTTTCTGCCTCAGTTCCCCTGCAAGAGTCCCGAAGTGAGGGAAATAAGGGTGTGTCAGCCTGTGCCCCCTTTGACCTGATACATTTGCAGCCCAGTGTTGGGGTGATTTGTGGGCAGCCTCACCTAGCTCCTTGCCCATACTTTGTTCTAACTAGTGTTTATGACATGGTTCACTTTTTTTAATGCTTTTTTATTATAAATATATATTATAGAAGATAAGTCCTGTTTGGAGCTCACCACTAGTTTCACATTTTATTAAATCCACAAAGTTCATTCTAAGGTCTGACCTTCTTTCTTCCTCTTAGCTACAGTTCCTATTTTAGTGGAGGGAAGCCTCGAATGTTCTCTACCTTCTCCCCTAAGAATCATGAGAGAGGGATGGAGTAAAGACCTAGGTGCAGTTGGGTCTTGCCTGGGCCCATGAGAGGCCATGTTGAAGACAGTGCCAGCAAGATGTTGGAGCAAGAAGGGTGGCAGTCCCTTCCTGTCACTCTCTCAAAGCTGCATCTAAACTCCCCTCCCCCACCACCCAGCCAGCCTGGGAACTGGGCAGGGGGCCAGAGCCAGCCGCTTGGTATTCTTGGGCGCGGGGGCTGCAGTCACAGCACAAAGGCTAGGAGACAGGACTGATTAGGGGCCTAGTAACTAACCATCAAGGGAGAAAATGGGCTCCACAAAAGTGGGGGCTGCCCATTGCTTCCCCCAACCCCTAGTGACTTAACACAAGGCTAAGCACGGAGGGGCCAGGGAACTATCAGACCAAGCAACTAGGCATCCATCCAAAATGACTCATTAGTGGGGTGATAGGAGTTGAAGTGAGGGACCCCTCTGCTTCTGAGGAAGAATGGAAGCTAGAACACAAGCTGCAACCAACTCCTCTAGGTCCTCCTTTTGGGCTTCTCATTATCCACAGCAAACCTCTCTGGTGGTTGTTTTTGAGTTTTTTTTTTTTTTTTTTTCTTTACC